GTTATAAGATTTTTGGTTATAATTTTGTCTGCACCTTCCATTTGACTTAAAAAGAGGATAAATGTAACTAATGCTTAGAGCAAATAGTGTTCTCTTTTGATACTTGCACAAAGCTGAAAAGGTTATACGATCCTGGGCTTTCATTATAGTTTTTACTTGTCATAGCCATCTCCTTCTAACTTTCAAAGCGTCAAGAAAATGATAGGCCAGATTCCGAGTAGATAAAAAGTTGAATGTTCCTTGCATAATGTATATCTGTGGAGAGGCCAGCAACAGTGACCACACCTTGATCTGTCGGTCAATTTAGTGCTATAATTAAACATATGAGTTCCAAGTCTCTTGAGCTTGTTGTTTTCCAAGTTGTTGGTCACTTTTTTGACATTGTAACATTTTTCACAAGCAGAATATATATTTTTTAAATTTTTTCCCCTTATTTTTGTGCTTAATTCACATTGCTTTCTTGTTCATTCTTCTATGTTTTTTCTTCTTTTGTCAAATAAACTAAATAATACTCAACAAGATTTGATGCCCCTCGATGTGATAATTCTCTCATTATATAGAATCAAATAAAAACTAAATATGGTAAATATCAATTACAATATTAACTAATGCTAACCTATAATTTAAATATGGTAAAAACAATCTATCTATATATAATACAATTATAATGATAATATAAACGTCAACTATAATCTCTGATGATTTTCGTAATTTTCGACAATCTCATTGACATCTCCTTCAAATTGATAATGCAATCTTGAACTGCGACAGTAACAATACTTGTGTCCATGAAGAAGAAATCCAAATCAAAGCGACCAACTATGAAAACTAGTGATGACGAGAGATCAAGGACAACAAAATAGTGCAGAAACAACCAATAGCAACTCCAAGAACACTCAAGAGAGCTTACTCCCTAAGAAGAATTTTCAAAAGAAATTCACCAAGTGTGTCGACACACACAGTGGGCTCTATCTATCGGGAGAACTCAGTCGAACACATAATTCGTGTTTCGACAAAAGCTCTAACGCTAATGCAGTGGCAAAAAATCCAGCAATACATCACTAACCAAGATGCTGTAGTTGGAAGAAATCCCACAAAACAGTGTACACCAACAAACTAAGATGTTCATCTTCTGAGAATCCCAAAACCATCCGAAGATGATTCTCCTCCGAGAATTCGAAACTCTAGCTCATCACTCGACCAACCAAAAACACAAAAAAATCTGCACTCCCATGTCTCTCTCATCTATATGACCCATCAACAAGATCCCCAAGTTCGTTATTGGAAACAAATCAAGTCATATTCCAAAATTAGCCCACAAAGAAAAACCACAATTTATAATCCAATTGCTCTGATACCATGTCAAATAAACTGAATAATACTCAATAAGACTCAATGTCCCTCGATGTGAGAGTTCTCTCACTATATAGAACCAAATAAAAACTAAATATGGTAAATATCAATTGCAATATTAACTAATGTTAACATATAATTTAAATATGGTAAAAACAATCTATTTATATATAATACAATTATAACGATAATATAAATGTCAACTATAATCTCTGATGATCTTCGTAATTTTCAACAATCTCATTGACACTTAATTAAGATGTTAATAATACATTTTCTTTTTCATGTTCACTTCACGCTGTCTACAAACAAAGTTTTGCAAAAATGAAAGGTACTTGCATGATCAAAATCTTTTGCAAAAATTTCTCTACTTCATTCAGCACCATCGTTAGTTACGTCGGTAGTCTTTATAAAACCCCCTCTTTTTTTTTTTTTTAATCCAGGTATAAATGTTATGGCAGAAGTTGACGTCCCTGATCATGCAGAATCATGGCAAAAGCACTTCTAACGTTGAGTTTATATGTTTTATCTCTAACAAGTTCCTATGTCTACTTCGTCGACTCTTAATTTTATGATTGAACATTGCCCCACTGTGAGTGTCATCCACTTTGTCCCACTTGTGGTCTACCTGTAAAAGCACCACATGTTGTAGGCTCACCAATCATATTAGATCCCAATATCCTCCTACTTGCTTTAGATGTAGTAGGACTTAGCAGTCTCAATCTTTTACATCAGAGCCTTGGCGGCACTGCGCCCAGTATGTGTGTTTTGTACATCATCTGCACAATGCAGCCGTTAGCATCTTTGGTGCCCAATTTCCTTTCCCAACTCCAGTTAACTCTCTTTGACAAATAAAATGACCGATCGGCAGTAACTTTGCCAAAATGTTGCCAAGCTGCTCCTTTGCACTACATGAGGCTCGTATGAGCTGTTCTCAACAGACCGAAGTGAATGATGTAGCTTATTTATTATCACAATAAAATGAACGTTCACTCTGAGAAGATACTGTGCCAAATATTTTAGTTCGTCTTAAGACAGGACTATTTCAAGAAGCATTAGCTTAAAGTCCTTAATTAGAAACTTATTAAGTTTTTGAATTGAACTCCTTTTTTCATGCTATTTAGAACGCTTGCACTACAAGGAGTCTGCATCTTCTGGAAATACTACATTAACTGCATTGGAGAGATTAGAGTACATTTGTTGTCTTCAGACAAGACGCGGAGTTCAAGCTGTACCTGCTACGACTTTTTAAGCTTGATGTCCCCCAAATGGTCCAGGATCATGCCATGAGCAATGAGTCAAATGTGGCTCTGGTAAAATGAATTTTAAGTTCTGATAATTATTTCGTTTTTCTGGAGATCAATGCATATATTGCAGTCTGGTTGTGGTCTCTTATGATGGTAAGATCTGTACCGCAGGATGTGGAGATTGCTTTGGCTTTGGCTTTGGCTTTGGCTTTAGCAAATTGTGTAATATGAACATCTGAACGTGTGATTGCAAGAAATTTCCTGTCAATTATTGTTTGTTCGATGATAGACTGATCATTTTCTTCGTTGCTTCATCTTGCTTCCTTGTGTTGAAATGTCAATGTCTTCTGACTCTGGCGCGTTAAAACTAATATGGATAGTGTGTGTGGAAAAGAGCCAGCTTGTTTTATATCTCAATAATGTGATATTGCATTTAGTGGAAAAGTGGCGAGAAATATTTGCTATCAAGTATTAGATTGGGAATACTTTTTCAATAAAGTGTTAGTTTGTGCAACATGGAAAAGTCATTTTCGAGACTTTAATCATATGATATATTGGACATTGTTCGCTTTTCAAAAGTTTCGTTTAGGCCTGCCCTACACGAGCTTGCTCCAATTAGATGACGACGACAGATATGAAGAGTTAACTATGATGACACGAAGCATGACAAAATCATATGAGACATAGTATAGACTATTCGATTTTTAGCTACTTGTGTGTTTTGGTTTGAACTCTTTAAAGTTTGTATTTCAGTATTAATAAATACAATGCAGGGGGTGGTGATATGCAGAATCTAGTACAATGCATTCAAACAAATAGAGGAACATGCACATAGCCTATAACTGTGTTTGGATTGACCTGTTATTTTCACCATTTTCAGCTCTTAGATTTGTCGAGACTGTCAAATTGACAAACAACATCAAGAGGGTGATAGAAAAGGAGAGGGACGAGGAGGAGGATGGTTTTAAATTCTATCTGATCTTTAAGCTAAATCGTATTCGATTATTAACAGTTAATAAAATCCATATAAATTGAAATGGTCAAAATTTTAGCAAATCGAGCCCAAAATACAAGACAGTCGACCACTCGAGACCAACAGAATTTACTTGATGGCCAATATAAGGTTTTCACCCGCTAATGTTTAGCCAAGAGGATTCCGAAGAAAATGAGAATCGAAGAAGAGAGGTAAGTACTTATTCGATCCACATAAGTTTGAAGAGTTACGATACATATTTATATTTTCCTATAAATTTGCCCCCTTCCCAACTTCGAAAATATTTTCAGTTGCGATTGTAAAATTATTGAGGCCCTCCATCATTGTCTAATGAAAATCAATTGCAAATCAATGTCTATCTCCTTTCACATCATATTTAGTTGTTGAAGTTTTTAGCATAAATTATAGCCAATATCCACATCATTTAGATCTCTTTCCAATCTTGCCCTTAACCATTTTTTTTAAAATGGATCCTCAAACTTCGACTAATTGTCAATTACCGCATCTTAAAATTCTATTAGTAGCCTTAAAAAAATGAATTTCTCCTTTCACTAATAAAATTTTCGAATCTGACTTCCATCTAAACTAATCATAAGCCTACAGTGTTGAAATTTTTTTCCAACAGGTAGGATTTTTTATCAAATAATTGATGGAATTTGGTTCAACTTGACATTTAAAGTCTGTTTGGGAGTGATTTTGAGAATTGATTTTTTGATCTTTAGGAAAAAAGTAGGGTCCACCTGTGAGAAAATAAATCAAATATAACAGTTGAAAAAGTGAAATAACGGTCAAAAAATCAAGTTTTTAGGGGAAAAAATCACAATGACCAATGTTTGAAGTGTTACATATTTTAGTGATTAAATGGATGAAAAATAATCATTGATGGCCAACTTAAAATTTTACACAAACTTCATTGACCATTAGTGAAATTAACAATACAGATATTGACGCCCCCGGGGCATATCTTAGTGGTGCAAAAGACAAGAGTGTGGTATACTCAATCTTGCTGGTAGCCGTAGTGTGAAGGTTCGATTTCTTAAATATGGATTGAGATTCTTTGTGGGTATCAGCATTCAGGCAATTCTTATTTTTTGACCTGTTGTAGCACATTTCGAGATTAACTTCTCTCCCGATACTCCAGAAATAAAGCGATGGAAATCCTTAAGATTGGGGCTCAACCATTAACAATACAGACACTAAGAAAAGGCAAAGGCCTTGATAAAATGGTGGCAGATAATTTGGCCTGGCACAGACGCAAAAAGCATAAGACGCGCGAAGCGTCGTCGTTTGACTTCCCATAGTTCCATGCTCTTGTTCCATTGACAATGAACCAAGAATCAACCAATGATTGAATAACACCTGTCATCTACTCCTGCGTAAATATACGGTAAACTCCCTGAGATATTCACAACTGTACCACCATCGCCTTTCCTTGAATAATAATAACAATGCCAACCAAACGCTTCCTTCAACCCTGGACGACTATTCTCTCCGAGACGTCGTCGTTTTACTGGCCTTCCGAGTTCTGGCATGTTTCCGTTATTGAGTCAACCCAATTCTTAATCCGCCTTCTTTGACTGAGTCAAGCCTCCGAGTCACCCAACTTGACCCCTCAATTCATTTCTTCTCTCTTCACAATTGCAATCTTGAGTATTGCTCTAATTGAAAAGTTCCAACCCCACTAATCAATCTAGAATTCATCTGATCTAAGTTGAGCATCTTTCTGTTTTCTAGGGTTTTCTACAGTGGTTTTGGGACTGAGGTTTTAAGTACAGATGATGATATCAAGGGGGCTATTTGGGTGGTCGCCGCCGCACATACAGCCTTTGACGCCGGTGTCGGAGGTGTCTGAGCCACCGGAATCTCCGTCACCGTACCTGGACGCGAGCGCTGTGGATGCCATGCCGGTCGAGGTGGAGGACGAGATCGATGCCGAGGCAGATGAGATCGAGCCGCCACCAGGCGCTGTACCCTTCTCCCAACTGTTTGTCTGTGCTGACCGGCTCGACTGGGGTCTGATGGTAGTTGGATCTCTTGCTGCCGCCGCCCATGGCACTGCCCTCGTTGTTTACTTGCATTATTTCGCCAAAATCATTCAGCTTCTTCGCCATGACTCCGACCCACCTGACAAGCTCTTTGACGAGTTCACTGAGGTATTCATAATACTTTTAGCATATTTCTATTTTCATAAAACCCAAGCTTTAGCTTTCAGTTTGTAGTTACATTGATGGTGTTTGTGGTAATTGAGTAGAATTGCCGAGTTTAGAGTAAACTGTTTCATTCAATAGAGCAGAATGCTTGTATCTTGCTCTATATGGAAACATATTCGTATGTATGCCGGGGTGAATTCGTCGATATAAATAAATTCACTTCTTAACTGCGACTATCTAACTAGCTTACTTTGATTATCAGTATGTCTAGGCAAGATTTTAAAACTTGCTACTGCTGGAAGCTGGGTGGCAATTGGACTTCTTTATTTACCAAATCAAGATTGTTTCATTACTTTTTAAATAAATATAACTTCTGAAATTCTGATAACGTGTTCATTTCATTTTATTTAACTAAAAAGGGAAGTTTAAGTTGTTACTGAGGAGACTTCTCTAAGGAAACATGAACTTTCATCAGTAAAGGTTATTATTATTATTTTTCTCTCTCCACATGGAGCTGGAGGCATTTAGGTTATTATAAAGGTTATTTAACAAGTTTATTTGTCTTATTTATTATAGTTCTTCTTCCTTTGGGTTTATCTGGGTTCAAAGGTATTGGATAACAGTTGCTTTTGTAGTGACTGCAAGTTTGGATTGTGCAAATAGTCAAAATGCTTCTGGAATAGTGTTTGAGGTTTATTAGGGGGTCGAAAGTTTATTGCACGTGTTGCTTATTAAGTTATCGATATGACTAGTTGTTCAGTATTACTTGGTACAAATGTTAGCTGGCCAGTGATGAGATTTTACCTTTTCTGTATATATGGAAAAGATGTAATGGATGATTTGGAGATTCTATGTGTCATTTAGCTGTAAGCCAATTAATATCGTAATACGTGGCTATGTGATACTGTGATAGTAGAACTACAATAAATATTATAATTTTTTATTGCAAGTCAATGTGTTTGTGCACTTTTAGGTCCTGGCCTTTTTAACTAATTGGGTGTGAAACAAGCTTTCCAGAGGATAGTTATTAGGCAGGATTGTCATTCAACATGCCAATTAGGTAAGAAGGGATATATATGATGGTGCTGCTATGTACTACTAAAAGGTGACAAATTGATGTGTATGACCGAAAATTTGTAGCTGTAGACCCCCAAGTTTTTCCAATGTGTCCTCAAATAATTTTTTTAGGCCTTAATTTCGCCAACTTTCAATTTTGGTTCAAGTTGGTCCATCCTAAATGAAAACTATCACTTTTTTTTATTATTAATCAACCTCTCATGGAATCTTTTTTAGAAGATTATTTTCATCAACTTATCTCCATCTCACTAAAAGCTAATTTAAAAAGTAAAGAAAACAAAAAAACAAAACCAAAAAAAAGGAAGAAGAAAAGAAAATAGAAAAACCTGTCCCCCATCTCCATATTCATCCTGCCATCCACAACATCCCCATTGCCTCCACCATAACCGTCTGTGCCGCCCCCAAGCCATTCCCAAACCCACTCTGTGTTTGCTGTTTCTGGATATATTTGATTTGCCATAAATCTTGGGCGTGTAGCCTGGAAAACAGCATAACAGCATGAAAGAAAATGATTTCTTAAAGGCTTTTTGACAATAATTTCTTTTCAGAAGCAATCTATATAGTGCCAATGATAAGCCCTCTACAGCTAAAATCCTCTGGTTCCTTTTTTCTTTTTATATGGTTATGGTTCATGGTTCAAAATTTGAAAACCAAATCAGTTCTTGCTAACTCTTCACTGTGAGTAATGTAATTAGGAGACTTGGCAGATTGTGCAATCAAAATGGATTCTCCATTTAGACCTTTGGTCAGTGGCTTATTGCTTGTTTGGGGTGGGGCAGGGGGGTTTCGGAGAGGAAAGCTGCTGACAAAGGCAGGGGAGGGGGAATTGGAATGGTGGGCTTGTGTTCGATATTTTTCTTTTTTAGTTTCTTTTGTTTTCTTCCTTATCTTTCTCTCTTTTATTTATTGGTTTCGAACATGGTTGATTTAAATAACCCCATGAGAAAGATGACATGCAAGTCATGTGATTAGGTGATGGTTTCCATCTGTTGGGGATTGGCTTGCACTGAAATTGAATGTTTGGGGTCAAAAACAAAATTGATTGAGGGTCCATGTGCATTATTTGGCATAGTCTGGGGACTCTGGCTGCAAATTTCTCTGAATTAATATCATGTTATACTTTAACGTTCTTGTCTTAGGTTGTAATCAATTTTTATTATATATATCGATGTATTAGATTTTTACCAGTGGTGGGGTGGTGTTCTGTTGCTACCTTCAGTAATATATTGGCAAATACACTGTACTGGAAATAAGAACCCACCTGATAAATTAAAGGGAGCTTCAAGTAGCATTTCCTTTATTATTTGCTCAAAATATTCATGATTGGTGTAAGATCAAGTTAGACTTTGTGATGTATCGCTCAATTTCAGTCCTGTTGCACTTCAGTTATGATCGAGCTTTCCTACATTGACTGTCATTTAGAGAAGGGCAAGGGAACTTCAATTGGCTAATTTGTTATCAAACTAGAGTTTTCCAAAATTTGGTTGAATAGATCGTGTGATTAGTTGTTTCACTTACCAAGAAAAAGTAAGGCAAGGTGATTGTTTATTACTTAGAAGTCAGCACCACATATAAATTATAGAAGTTTGTGATTAGATATGGAAGCAAGAGGATGATAAGTAGGTAATATCTTGCCTCACCCTCTAAATTAGTAATGCAATTTTTAAATAATCTCTTGGTGCTATCATGACACTATCATTTCTTCTCTTTTATGTACACTGTATTATTAAAAAGGAATCTCTTAGGCGTTAAAGTGTGCTTTCATATGACCATTAACATTGTTTACAACTGGTTTGCCCAGATTAATAGTCACATTTTTTCTTCTCTTCGTGCCCCTTCTGGTATCCTTAAACTGTGTAATTGATTTACGAAGAACTGTGCAAACCAATAGTTCTTTCATACCCCCCTTTCGGTAGCTTTAAACTGCACGATTGAGATAGAAGAACCTTACAAACCAATTATTTACAAAGAGAAAAGAAACTGTTGATATTAGTTTGCAAACCATTTGTTTACATAGATATGCCATAAACATTGTTTACGAAGAACAGTACAGGATAAATCTGCTCTTAGCGAAAAACTGATGAATTTTTCATTTACATAGATATGAAATTTTGTAAGGATGTTCCAGTCCCATATGTGTTGCCAGCTAATGCTACTTTGGGAATTTTGCAGCTTGCTTTAACAATTGTTTACATTGCCGTGGGAGTTTTTGTTGCTGGTTGGATTGGTAAGCCTGGTGTTTAATTGTTAAAGGCTGCTATGCCATTATTATTCCTGATATGCTTCTGTCTTCCTGTGCTGCCATTGACTACGTCAACGTTTTGATATTTCATTTCTCATATTATCTTTTACATAATAGAGGTATCATGCTGGATTCTTACTGGAGAAAGGCAGACTGCAGTGATCAGGTCAAGATATGTACAAGTACTACTTAATCAAGACATGAGCTTTTTTGATACTTATGGCAACAATGGAGACATTGTGAGCCAAGTGCTGAGTGATGTGCTGCTCATTCAATCCGCTCTTAGTGAAAAAGTATGTTCAGTTTCGTTATTTCTGCTCATGAACTTCTTTTTAGCTTGCTTTTTATTTTACTATATTAGTATGATATCAATAAATGTATTCTGATGTGACAGGTTGGTAACTATATTCATAATATGGCTACTTTCATCAGTGGTCTGGTGATTGGATTTGTCAACTGTTGGCAGATTGCCCTTATAACTTTAGCTACAGGTCCATTCATTGTTGCTGCAGGAGGAATATCAAATATATTTCTGCATAGACTTGCGGAGAATATCCAAGATGCATATGCTGAAGCAGCAAGTATTGCAGAGCAGGTCGAATCATCTGCCTTTCCTCTATCTCTAAAAATTTCCCTGCAAAATTGACATCTGCTGGAACATTTAGTTATATCTTTGAAGTCTTGTGAGATCATACTAAGAACGTGTTTGGCTGTGTTTAGAAGCAAGGGAAACTTAGTTCTGAGTTACTTATTTTGCCAAACATGTCTTTCAAAGTGACTCATTTCACTTACCTTTGAGGAAAATAATCTTTAAGCACAGCCAGACATGTTCTGCAGATAAACTTCGAATTTAAAATATCGCAACAAAAACAAGCCTGTTCCTTCTATGCTCTGTGTGTATCTCTGTTATTTAAGACCCTTATTACTTTAGTTAGTTATTTGTTGTTATAAATGGAAGTAGTGACCACCTAATTTGCACTAGTAATCTGATACGTACCTGCCTAATTTGCTCCTGTTTGCCCCCCTTTCTCTTTCAAAATTTTTCTCTCCTATTTTCAATCACACAATCTCCCATAAAATAATATTACATGTAAATCAAAAAAAAAAAAAAAAATCTTCTTTTTCAACCACACATTCTCCAAAAAAAAAAAAATTGCCAAATGGGGGTGGGCTTTATAAGGAAGTTCTAGTGAGAGGTCATTTTACTTTATTTATTTATATTCTGCAAATGTATTTGCTGTTGTCTAAACAGTACTGTGAATTATTGCGTACAAGATATTCATTTAATAGTTCCTTTCTGGAGTATAAATCATTTAGATTTTAACCTATTTGCTTTTCCCTCCCCAGAAAAGAGTTTTACGCAATTATACATCCTCCAGCCATAGCCATCCAACAGAAGGGTGGTTTAAAAGGGTAGGAAAGAGACGAAACATTGTGCTAATAAGAGAGATCTTTAATGAATTTATATATGAGTTTCACTATAAATTTATAAACGTCGATGAAAGTGGTAAAAAGCTGCAGATTTTGAACAATCTTAAGACCCACGGGGAACTGAAGCGCCTGGAACTGCTTGTCATGGTCTATGCATATTCTTCTGAAGAAAGTAGAGGATGGAAAGAGAAGAAATAACACTTTACAAGTACAGGAGATCTTTAATGAATTTATAGTAGTCCATTGCTACTTTTTCAAACTCAGATTTGGCATCTGGCATCCTTGTTTTTCATCTCCAAACACCACCTATGCCTAGGTGGGGGTTTGGTATACCCCTACTTGTGGATTGCACTTGAAATTCAGTAACACTGGGAATGGGACATGACTTATCTCCAAAATTACGTGATGAGTGACTGAGAATAAAAAGCATAAATATGGAACGCACATAATCTCTTTAGCATCCTTAACCCCACTTCTGCAGGGGCTTCATTTTTTAGAACTCTGCTCTTATTTTGGACACAGAGACCAATTACATTTACATCATTACGGGTTTATGCTGTACACATAGGACAATCAACATCCACTTGTATTGCATGCAAAAATACCAAGGTACACAGAAGAAAGATGCAATAATTCTATCAAATATCTATTTAGTTTTGTGTTAAGCTCATAAAATTTGAACTTTCTACAAAATTTGGAGAAGGTTTCCTATGCTTTGCTAGCATAGTGACCTGGAAAACAACCATCTTTGACTTTATTGTTCTTAGCCACGGTTTCTTGGTTTCTTGAGATGTTCATATGCAACCATTTCTTTCTTATTTTTTACTTTTTCTCATTCTGCAGGCAGTGTCTTATATTAGAACGTTATATGCATTTACGAACGAGACATTGGCAAAATATTCTTATGCAACTTCACTTCAAGCTACTCTGAGATATGGTATATTAATAAGTCTCGTGCAAGGACTTGGACTCGGTTTCACTTATGGGCTTGCAATCTGTTCTTGTGCCTTACAACTTTGGGTTGGAAGGTTCCTAGTTATACATGGAAAAGCTCATGGGGGAGAAATTGTAACAGCACTATTCGCTGTTATTTTGAGTGGCCTGTAAGTAACTCATCCTCTCTTCTAATTATTGCATCTCTACTCTGCAATTTTACTTATTTATTGCATTTGTGTTTGATAGTGGGCTGAATCAAGCAGCAACAAATTTCTATTCTTTTGAGCAAGGGAGAATTGCTGCTTATAGACTGTTTGAGATGATAAGTCGTTCATCCTCCACTGCCAATCATGATGGTGTCACCCTTGGTTTCGTACAAGGAAACATAGAGTTTCGAAATGTTTATTTCAGCTATCTCTCCCGTCCTGAGATTCCTATATTGAGTGGGTTTTACCTCACTGTACCAGCTAAAAAGGCTGTCGCACTTGTTGGCAGAAATGGCTCTGGTAAAAGTAGTATTATACCGCTTATGGAACGGTTTTATGATCCGACATTAGGTATTATTAGCACAAAAGTTTCAAATCACATTTTGGGGATCAATTTATTCAAGTATCTCCCTAAATGTCTCGAATCCTTCTCTCTTTCTTGCAGGTGAAGTTCTTTTGGATGGTGAAAATATAAAAAATCTGAAGCTGGAGTGGCTAAGAAGCCAAATTGGTTTAGTCACCCAGGAACCTGCTTTATTAAGTTTGAGTGTCAAAGAAAACATTGCTTATGGACGAAATGCTTCTTTAGACCAAATTGAAGAAGCTGCAAAAATTGCACATGCACATACATTTATCAGTTCGCTGGATAATGGATATAATACTCAGGTTTATTTGCATAAATTACTATATCTGTTCTTGGGTTCTGGTTTATCTGTTCAAGTTTCGTTGCATTATATCAACTAAGCCTTGATTTTCAGATTGGTAGGGCCGGTTTAGCAATGACGGAGGAGCAGAAAATTAAACTTTCTGTTGCTAGAGCTGTGCTTTCTAATCCATCTATCCTACTGCTAGATGAGGTTACTGGTGGACTTGATTTTGAAGCTGAACGAGCTGTTCAGGAGACGCTGGATCTTCTCATGTTAGGCAGATCAACAATAATAATTGCTAGACGGCTTAGTCTGATTAAGAATGCTGATTACATTGCTGTAATGGAAGAAGGCCAACTCGTTGAAATGGGGACACATGATGAACTAATAAACTTGGATGGCCTTTATGCTGAGCTTCTCAAAAATGAAGAAGCTGCAAAACTTCCACGGAGGTACTGTAGAGGAGCTATATAATTCCTGTTTTGGAACATCATGATATATTGTTTGTGAATGATTCTTTGTTCAGAAATGAGTTGATATCTTGTCAGATCATATTTTTGTTTTGAACCCTTCCATGTGATAATCATTTTTGTGCTAATGCTGATAATTAACTTATCATACTGACATGGCTTCATTATCTTCATCAGGATGCCAGTGAGGAACTACAAGGATACTGCTACTTTCCAGATTGAAAAAGATTCTTCCGCAAGTCACAGCTTCCAAGAGCCATCATCTCCTAAAATGGCCAAGTCACCATCTCTTCAGAGGGTATCCGGCTTCCATGTGTTTAGGCCAGCTGATGTTACATTTGACTCACAAACATCTCCAAGGGTTCAGAGCCCTCCGTCAGAACAAATAATTGAAAATGGTGTTTCCTTGGATTCAACAGATAAAGAACCATCTATCAAAAGGCAGGATAGTTTTGAAATGAGACTTCCAGAGCTACCCAAGATTGATGTTCACCCTTCACATCAACAAATGAACAATGCGTCAGATCCTGAATCTCCTGTCTCACCACTTTTGACATCTGATCCAAAAAATGAACGTTCTCATTCTCAAACATTCAGTCGACCCCTTGGTCAATTTGATGATGTGCCAATGAGAGCAAAAGAAACCAAGGACAAACATCCTCGAGGAGAGCCATCCTTTTGGAGGCTTGTAGAGCTTAGCCTTGCAGAGTGGCTTTATGCTGTTTTGGGAAGCACTGGTGCAGCAATTTTTGGCTCTTTTAATCCCGTGCTCGCTTATGTTATCTCACTCATAGTAACAGCATATTATAGAACTGATGAAAAACATCACTTACGCCAAGAAGTAGACAGGTGGTGCTTAATCATTGCTGGCATGGGAATTGTAACAGTCATTGCCAACTTTTTGCAGCACTTCTATTTTGGCATAATGGGGGAAAAAATGACCGAACGTGTTCGGAGAATGATGTTTTCAGGTACCTGATTACATACCTATAGTAATTTTATTCTTTGCTGGTTTGACTCATAATTGTAACTATTATTTTTATCTTGAATAAGCTGTCCTTTTGACATTGTAAGCATGTTATGTGAATAATGAATTTAATCTGATGAATGCTCTGATTTTCTGACTGCTTTCTTCGACAGCAATGCTTCGCAATGAAGTTGGATGGTTTGACGATGAAGAGAATAGTGCTGATAACTTGTCCATGCGCTTGGCAAATGATGCTACTTTTGTTAGAGCTGCTTTTAGCAACCGGCTATCCATATTTATACAAGACACTGCAGCTGTTATGGTGGCTGTTCTCATTGGGATGTTACTGCAGTGGCGGTTGGCACTTGTGGCCTTGGCTACTCTGCCTGTTCTTACTGTTTCTGCAATAGCCCAGGTATGTAGTTTGCTATGTGTATTTTTTTATCACCTCAGGAACAATCGTAACGGAACTGATATGTGATGATGTGTTACTAGCTCTCCCCTTCTCAAATATTGTTTTCCTCCTACATTAACTGATAACAATTTAAGAATAACGCTAAATCATTTTAACCCCCAAACTTCACAGTATGTTGAACTAAATTGTGCAGAAATTGTGGCTTGCTGGATTTTCAAAGGGCATTCAGGAGATGCATAGGAAGGCCTCTTTGGTCCTTGAGGATGCAGTTAGAAATATTTATACTGTTGTAGCATTTTGTGCCGGTAACAAGGTAATGGAGCTCTACAGGTTGCAGCTTCGACAAATATTCAAGAAAAGCTTTCTCCATGGACTTGCAATTGGCTTTGCATTTGGCTTTTCCCAGTTTCTTCTTTTTGCTTGCAATGCTCTTCTGCTTTGGTATACTGCCCTTTCTGTCAAAAATGGGTATATGAATTTGGCTACAGCTCTGAAGGAATACATGGTTTTCTCTTTTGCTACATTCGCACTGGTTGAGCCTTTTGGTTTAGCACCATATATTCTCAAGAGAAGAAAATCTTTGACGTCAGTTTTTGAAATAATTGATCGAGTGCCTAAGATTGACCCAGATGATAATTCAGCCTTGAAACCTCCCAATGTTTATGGAAGCATTGAGTTAAAAAATGTTGATTTTTCTTATCCAACTCGGCCAGAAATCATCATTTTATTAGCAGTTTGCCTCATGGTTACGACACACATGTCGGAATGAGGGGCGTAGATCTGACTCCAGGACAGAAGCAAAGAATTGCAATTGCCAGAGTGGTTTTGAAAAATGCACCAATTTTATTATTGGATGAAGCCAGCTCGTCCATCGAATCCGAGTCAAGCCGGGTGGTGCAGGAAGCCCTTGACACTCTAGTAATGGGGAACAAAACAACGATTCTAATTGCACACCGTGCTGCTATGATGAGGCATGTAGACAATATTGTTGTACTTAATGGTGGGCGAATTGTGGAGGAAGGTACTCATGATACATTAATGGGCAAGAGTAGTTTGTATGCCCGACTGATGCAACCGCAATTTGGGAAGGGCTTACGTCAGCATAGACTTGTTTAGGTGGTGTCTAGTGGATCTCTAGTGGTTGCAACGTGGCTCTCGTCTGGCCCTTGAGAATGTGCCCATCATTTTTGGGATGAAATTCCGAATTTGTGGGTACTGACTGAATAAGATGAACAAACATGGACAAGGGGTAGGTATCTGTACTTACCTTGCTGTGCTGGTGGCAGCAATGCTCGTTGACTGATAACTCTGGGTTGGTGCATTTTATCGTCAATTGAAGTGTAGGGTTTGTAGAGTTTGATTAACCATTATCGGGGTAGGCCTTTGGGAGGATTGGATGCATATTCTTTTGGAGGCAGGCAGAATTAGTTTAGAACTTTGCCCTGTTTCTCCATTATATATTGATTTGTTAATTGTAGAGTTGGATGAACCAGTGATAGTGTTCAATTAGGTGGAGGTTCAAACTATATTCCTTTTGTTTCATTTTTGGGTGGTGTGTTTGCGTGTGGTCAGTCGGCCTTTTTTTTCCTTTACGTACCTTCAGGCTTTATTCTTCCCTTTAGCTGCCGCCTTCACCAATGTTTCATCCTTGCGGGAAAATGTAAAAAAACCTGAAAATGAAGGCCGTCGATGTAACTTTTTGTATATAATGAGTTCAAAAGATGTTAGCTATTCTTTGCCTCATTTGATGCTGTCACCATGGATTCACTTTTAATCAGTGTGTAAGTAGTAGAGCTTCTAATTACTCTTGCAAGTTGTATTATGTAGCTTTTGCTGATCATGGTGTGTTTTTCCCCTGCAAAATATTGCAATAACAATAGTCATTCGAGTTTTCCATGTTGTACAGGGTGGGATTTGTAGTCGGTCTCCATTTGGTTGACCCCATAGTTGTCCTTTTGGCTGTTTCCCCATTAAATTTGACACGTGTACATTAGCTCTGTTAGCAAATGGGAAGAGGCTAACATGGTATAGTGAACAAGGGAGATGACATTTATAATCTAGTCCTCCCTGGTCTCTAACAAGAGATGGTATATCGCGGTTTTAAAATTTTAGCATGGTGACAGCTAAATGAGGATAGTAAATCTCAACCTCTCGATGTGGCTAAGCCCTAATATCAATATCAAATCACAAAATATTACTAGTTCAATAGGACCATGTTACTTGTACACCGGGGTTGACACCCTGGTGTACCGACCCCCTCACAATAGGAGGTTCACTATTTTTTAATTTATCGTGGGCTCCCTTTTGTTGTGAGGGATCTGTACATCGGGGTGTCAATCTCGATATGCAAGTATCAAAATCCAGCTTAGTATGATGTTGCATTCTCATTACAACTTTTGGACCCCTCGACATTGACGTGAGGCGATACATTATTCACTACGGAAAAATGGCTCAAGCAACTTACGACACTCAACTCTGCAGAACAATCAATATATGGAGGGAGCAGCAGGTATGCAAAGAGGAATCTATTATAGTATGACCTCCATTAAACAAAATAAGTCAATTTTCTTACACTACGGCAAAATTATAGTGAGTTATCAACCTGGTTGTGTTAAAAGGGTAATATATTTCGCACCCATTTGGTACAAATTTTGATCGAACCTATATTTGCTCAATAGATACAATCGGCTTATTCTTCTACAAATAAATCCATTTTCTTACACTCAAATCATATATAATAAAAACTTGACGAGTATATACATATGCACAACATAAATAACATACATTTAGTGTGTTAACAAACACAAAGATTCCTTGTAGCTGTCTTGTTATTCTTAATTTAGGACTCTTTAATTTTAATGAACTCAAAAGTCAAACCTGCAAGTATAAATACATTTCAAGGGATATATAGAAGATTCTTAATCAGACAGTTGTTTAATTTAATATTTTTAAAAGAAGATGCAAGGTATATCACGTCGATGGAGGTTCCCTAATGGCCAGGAAAACTGGAAGAACCTGTTGGACCCTCTCGACATTGATATGAGGCGATACATTATTCACCATGACGAAATGGCTCAAGCAACCTACGACACTTTCAAATCCAAAAAACTATCTAGGTATTGTGAAATCATTTAACCCATGTTTGGCCCCCATTTCTTTCCAAATTCATTTTCAACCATACATTTTATGGGATCCACAATTTTTACGATAATATACTAAAAATTTGTTTTTTAGCTAAACCAAATAGAGGTTTATTAAGGTTACGTCTCACGTAATGATACGAACACGGTGTATTCAAGAATATTTTCATTTTTTCGTTAAAGGTCTAACGGATGAATGACTTTCACAAGTGACTGGTAGTGTTGTTTGAATGTCCTCGTCTCTTCAACAGTTATGCAGGGAGCACCAAATATTCGAGGAGGAACCTATTAGCCAGGGTAGGATTAAGGGTAATCCTTTCGAGTACGAAATCGTTAAAAAACAATAAATAAATAAGATAATATATATACATACGAAAATAATCTTCTAAGCACCGATACTTAGCTTATGTTAAGCACCGGTGCTTGATGACATGACATACCGTTTAATTGGTGAATCATTAAATACATGGGACCTACCATTAATTTATTCATCAATTAAATATTGTGTCATGTCACCGGTGCTATATATATACACACACACACAACATCTAGCATCAGTGTACCAAATGCATTTATAAAGAAGCCCTTAGCAAGTGGACCTTGGTGCAAAGAATCAAATTGGATGGGGTATGTAGCAGGGACGGATTCAATCAGGATTGGATCCAAGACCGGGCTATAAAATTTCAAACCGGGATGCTACGTGGAAAAAAAAATTTTACACATAAAAAACTGGTTTTTTACGAAAAAAATAAAAAATACCTTTAAAAAATTTTTTATTGGGCCTTTGCCCGGAAGAAGGGATATTTTGATTGCATGGAGAGGAACAGTTCAAGCAATAGAATGGGTGAAAGATTTTGATTTCCCACTCGTACCAGCAACTAAGATTCTTGGAAAATTAACTGGCGATGCTAAAGTAAACAGCGGTATGCTTTCTATTTATACTTCGAATGATACACAATCGAGATACAACAAAACAAGTGCACAAGACATATATTATAGATTTGGAAAACACTAATATTTTAGGTATGCAGTCATTGAGTACTCTAAGCTGTTGACAGAGAAGAATTTGTATCAACTCGATCTTTACTAGGCATCTAGGTGAACCTGCGGGGAAAATGAAATAAAAAATTGAAAAACTATTTATTTGCGAGGTGACAAAAGTACCTGGGTCTGGCCAAAATGACTACAGGATCATCGGTCTACTCTACCTCAAAACGATCCACGGAGTTGACCTGACACACAAGTGGATTCGACCTCTATATTTTTTGGGAATTTTCTTGAAGTCAAAAAATTAGTTTATATGTAAGGTTACATAAGCAATCAAAGGTAAATTCCGTTGATAATTGAGTTTAAATGGCCAGGTTTTATCGGAGGTAAGGCGACAAGTTGAAAGATTCAAGAACAAAGAAATTAGCATAACCGTAACAGGCCTCAGTTTAGGTGCAGCAGACATTGTAGCCAATGGTTACAACAGGCCAAGTGAGAAACCAAAAAATCCTTGTCCTGTGACAGCATTCAAATTTGGCAGTCCACAAGTCGGGGACTTGAATTTTAAGGAAATTCTACTGTCTGTGAAAAAACTTCATATACTACTAAGTGTTCGTAACAAAGCCGATCTTGTTCCTCACTATCCACCAGTTGGGTACACTAGAATCGGAATCGAGCTACTAGTCGATAGCACAATCTCCCCTTTTCTAAAGTACCCTGGTGACATTACTTGGCATATTTTAGAGCCTGCTTATTTGCATTCAGTAGCAGGAACAAAAGGGAGTGAAGGAGGGTTTCACTTAGAAGTTAAAAGGAACGTTTGCTCTTATAAACAAGGGTTCGAATGCTCTTAAGGTTCATTATTCAGTACCCACTTTTTGGTGGTGTCAAACTGGGGGTGGAGCCAGAAAAACATATTAGTGTGGGCCGAAATTTAATTTTTTTTTTCAATAATTTCGTACCTTAAAAGATGTTCTATGTCACACGAGATTTAGTTGAAAAAGGTTAAACTCAAAACGCTCGTGACAAAGTGTGTCGGAATATATTTTTAGACACTCATTACAAAGTTTTAACAAATATATTTTTAACTAATAAAATTAAATACATAGCATATTACTTATTTTGATAATAACATCCATTTCATGTTCGAAATAAATAAAATTTTAACTCACAAGTATAAATAAGTAATATATGAAGAAATACATTAGAAAAAATTTAATTACTTTTAAGTTTAATCAAACATGTGGCATCTCATATTGTTGAAATAAGTCATTTATATTTACTTTAATCAATAAAAGTTATTTGTTATATAATAAACTAATTTGATATAAGTGAACTATTTAAACTTAGTTAAATATGAATGAAATAAAATACCTAATTTGATAACAAGTTATTTGTGTATCATGAATGTGAATAAAATAAATATGCAATTGTTGTAGAGTCTTAAATTAAATTTGAATAATCAAAGCTAAACTTAATTTTTGAGTTGCCTAATTTCTTATTCTTTTCTATTCCATCATGAATTTAGGCTAAAATTTCCAATTTTTAGAAGTCAATATTTGCTTTTGGCTGGTGCCCAACCCTCCTCTCCATCCGCCTCTGGTGTCAAAGGAATAAGGGTATGGTTCGAGAGAACAACGGCCATTAGAAATTACATGACCATGAAAACGACGATAGTTCTGGTGTTTGTCCTTGCATGTAAACGTTAAACGCGATTATCGAGTTGTTTCTCTTATAATTATTGGAGCCGACATATGACTCGAAGAATTGAAAGAGAAAATTGCTACATTACCGACTATTGGTCTAACATTCATGATCGGCTAAAGCCACAACTCATGTTCACTATTATTATCAAGGCGAATCGTGTCATTATGATAATTAATAAACTTTAAAGTACAATAAAAAATGTAATAGTTATACAAGCATATTCTTAACATTTGTAACCTTAAATAAATTTTGTACTGCGTTTAGGTAATTAATAATTTTATTTGGAAAATATTAACAATAATTTGTATTATCATAAGCATTAATTAATCTTTTCAACATTTTTATGAAAATATTTGCTTTACATACATGACATCTTGAGTGTTTAATATGTGGCTTATGTGGCAAGCAAGTTCACGGTGATTTCTACGTCTGCTCATTAAATTTAACAGTTAATTAAGAGTATTGTGTTGTAATGACCGCTTGAGCCTCATTAAATTTATAATACATTTTTCTTTTTTTTCTTTTTAACCTCACATTTTTCAACAAAATAATATTACATATAAACAGAAAAAAATACGTTCTTTTCCAATTACACATTCTCCACACAAAAATTAAAAAAAAAATTAAAAAATTAAAAAAAATTGTTATTCCAAAAATTATAACATCCAATAATGGGGGCCAAACGGGGCATATGTGTTGTCTTTGATTTTATTAAATTGAAATCAAGTGATACGATTTCTGCAAATATATATAAGTTTAATAACCTAATTACTGTTAGGGTTAAAGTCGGGTGACTTTGGGGACAATTAACTCCATTAAAAACACTTTTTCATAACATTTTATACGTTGAAAAAAATTCGTCGTTATTATTATTATTATTATTATTATTATTATTATTATTATTATTATTATTATTATTATTATTATTACTGCTGCTGCTTTTTTTGGGTTGAATGTGCAAAACTTGTTTCAAGAAACTGCATTTGAAGCCATGCGTGATAATATAAGATTTGAGATTGCTTAAAAAAAAAAAATAATAATAATATAGGTATATAAAATTTACCGCTGGCTTTTTTTTTTTTTTTTTTTTATTTCAAAGTACTATTTTTATTTATTTATTTATTTTGTTGAATATGATTAAAAAGTAAGAAAAAAAATTATGAAAACGTAAAAAAACATTTTTCTTATTGAACAAGTGGGAGAGACGTGATTCTCAAAAAATAAAAATCAAACAAAGCGTAAGATAATTGTTTCTGTATAAAAATAATCAGTAGAGTAACAGTTAATACCAAGTCAAAGATAGCCGATATTCCTAAACTGTTGCCGCTAACAAAGCCACATTCTCCACATCTTTCTCCTCGAATCTCTCTCTACACTGTATATTACAGTTTATGCGTATTGCTCTTGGCACACAAAGGTTCAGCAGATAAACGAAGCAAGAACACTCTCTTGAAGCCCCGAAAATGTCTTCCAAAATTTATATACTGTTCAACTTGTTCTTTGCCTTACACTTGGTTGCAGTGCATAGTGTCAAGTTTCACGTCGGCGGCGACGCAGGCTGGGCAGTCCCCTCGTCGAAGAATGATCAGCTATACAATGATTGGGCTTCCAAGAACAGGTTCAAGATTAATGACACCCTGTGTAAGTAGTATTTATTTCTTTGTTCCTACATGCATTTTTATAGTTCATGCTTAATTAATAATAAACTTTAAATGTATTTGATAACAAAACCTTATAAATTCAAAATCTCGACAATGGCTCTTCATAAAATACTTCTTGGGTATTAATTACGACAAATTAAGGGCATGTTTGATGTTATTTTTTTTTTTTAATTTTTTTTTTAAATAGATTTGGTAAAAGTGAGTTTTTTTTGGAGAAAATGAGTTTGAGGAAAAATAAGTTATTAAAAATCTCTCTAGCAAGAGGATAAATGTTATGTGGAAAATTTTCAAGTATATACATCTACATAAAATTCAGAATTTGCTTTCTTAATGTACTAATGAATAGAAATGCAGACTTCGAGTATACCAAGGATTCAGTGTTAGGGGTGACAGAAGAAGAATACGAGAAATGTCGATCGACTCATCCTATGTTCTTCTCCAACAATGGAAACAGTACCTATACATTGGATCATCCGGGCTTGTACTATTTTATGAGTGGTGTTGCAGGGCACTGTGAGAGGGGACTCAAGATGATTATCAAAGTTTTGGAGCCAGAAAGCCCTCCTCAGGTAGCAAACTCAACAACTGCCAGTGCTGCATATGAGTTTGCTGCTGCTACTTCTACTCCAACTATTCTTATGCTTTTTATGTCATTTTCTTGGGCCGTCTTCATGTAATACAGTACAATTGTTCTTCAGTTTTAAGGTTATTAGTGTCTCTGAAACACAATCGATTCTTCGTTTTTGGATAATTTAAACTATTAGGTTTTGATTGGTTTCTAGTTTTAATGAGATCAGTTTAGGGTTCTGTATAATTTGATTCTGTTAGGATAATGCTACCTATCACCAGTTTAGATGGTAACACTTATGCATAATTATAAATCATGTGATATTGAATTTAAACGAATCTATTATTTAATGTCATATAATTGCCATCTAGATGCTTAACACCATTGGGGTTGAATAGCATTACTCTTTATATGGAGCGACTTGTTATACATGTTTTATTGGCATGATTAAAGTCTCTCTTTAAGAATGTTCCTATGCCATAATTTTTAAAATTATGCAAGATACATGTCTTGGTATTGAATTGGTTAATTTTACAAGAAAATTTATAGTACTCTCAAGTATAGAATTAAGTATGCTTTGACGCTATTGAGTTTATATTTGAATTATCTATTCATGTTTGAGACTCAATTAAATAGTGGGTCCCCCTCTTGAATGAGTATTGAGTACATTATGTTTTATAGTACTAGAATTTTTTTTCTTTAAAATAGAGACAATAGGTGAACTATGTAATTTTCATCAGTTTTAGAGACAATAGGTGGAAATGACGGAGGTAAAATTTTGAAATAAAATTGAAGTTCAATAACCTAGGCCCCGTTTATTTTCTATTCTTTGGCCACAAAAATGAAAAATATAACTATTATTCATCACATTAAGTCCCTATATTTGACTTTCGCTCTTTTGTGTGGATCTTGTGACGGCTATATTTTTTATTCTCATTCTTATAAGAATGGGAATCAAACGGGGGCCTAATTTAAACACACTAGTTTTTAGTGAATCAAGAAGGATTTTGCTGAAAGTTCAATGGCTGCTGATGAAATTTACTGTCTTTTTGCATATATGACCGGTTACTGGAGCAACCTTAGATAGAACTCCAAATTATCGTGTCTTTTTTGTGTCCAATGGAAGTTTGTTTTAAAATTCAAATGAATGATCGTATCGGATTTTGGACGCTGCTATTCAATTCTTAGTTCTAATTCTCAATCAGTGATATTTATCTCAACTCTTGCAATTGCGACGATCGATAATTTCACTTTTATTTATTATTTTTTCCAAGACATAATAAACCTATGATTATTATGAGACGATCCTACTCCTAATCTGAATTCATGTGGCAAACACGCATTGATATGTAGAATTATCACACATGATCGCACATGCCACAAATATTATTTCTAACATTTATTGTCTGTATATTTCAATAACAGTTTTCTATTTACCGTGAGTTTTTCAACACTACAAATAAACAACTTATTGCCCTAATGGTGTGCAAACATTAAAATAATATAAATATGCATAGTAATGGAATCACAATGCAAAAATTAAGATAAAAACAAAAAGTCTTGAATTAAAAATTAAAAATTAACCAGTTTTGTCATCCATTCAACATAAAGAAATTTAACCTTGCATATTGATGTAAGAAATACATATAAAATTTTTTTTTAAAAAATCATCAACTGAATAATTAAAGTATGAAGAGAATCAAGAATCTTTCAATTTATGCCTTCAAATCCTGATCTAAGAGATGAATTCCTCGTTCTTCAATGTATTTCTCTCTATTTCTCCTCAAAGTTGGCTTGCAATCTGATGAAAATTAGGTTTGGACGAGTTCTCCTATTTTTATAATCCCCAAAAGACTCCTTACCAAAATAAAGCAAGAAAGCCCGAATTTTTTCGTGTTTAACCTTCGTGGGTGTGCCTTAGTGATTTGAAGAACCCTGTTTTTGTCTCGAGGCGCGCGCCTTAGGTTGTTTTTTGGGCCAAGTTTTCAACTTGATCCCCGAACTTTCTCCAGTGTCTTTTTTTCATCTTTCTTCTCTCTTTTCTTGTAACATTTGCCTATTCTTCATTCTAATAGAGTTCTTTCATCTCAAATTTTTATTTTTTCATTCGTGCCCAATATTTGAATTGTTGCATTTTAGTCCTCCAACTTTGTATTTGATGCAAATTAGCTCTCTTTTCTCCCTTATTCTCCTTTTTCCCGCATCTTTCATTGATTGTTACCTACAAACAATATATACATAGGACTAAGCTTTGTTTCATCCAATTTATCAACAGATACTCAATTTTAACGATCTAACTAAGTGTATAAAATACACTTATCAAACACCTCCAAACTTGAACATTTGCTTGCCCTCAAACAAACTATAGCCTAGTCCAATTTAAACTTTGGTTAGAGGGTATGCCGTTAGTCTCAAGATTAGATATTTGTATCATTACTACGGACAGTGTTCAAATTACACAATTGGAATTAACTTCTACCTATTCAATGAGAAACTTAAAGTGTAATGTGTGAATATTCATATAGCCATCACAATTTCATGACTGGTTTGGTTCCCGACCTGTCGTAGTCAAATATGTCTTTTTTCCACTCGTGAGATACACATCCCCAAACTTATGCTTTTCACTCACTTTTCCCGAGGTATGCACTTACGTTGACTTCAGTTGATTCTAATCCTCACCCTCTCTAGTTCAGATAGATTTTAGTTAGCATAGGTTAACATCTCAACGAATAAGAATTCTCCTATATTTTTTATCACTTCGGCCTTCAATACTCAATCAAGTTCATAACCCGTTGTCAAAGGTCTAAATATCTAAAACAAGAATTTGGGACTTAATCTTGGCATTAGGTGCGTCTTTTATTTCATGCACCTACTTTTTCTCCTTTTTCTGCACTCCCTCTTAAGCTTTTGAGATGATCCCAATCAAATGACTTTAAGGCACCAGGTTTTCAATTACTCTTACAGATTTAATAACCCAAGTCAAAAAAGCTTCGAAGAAAACAAAGATTTTTTTTTTTTATTTATTTTGTCAAGATTAGTCAATATCCCTAATTAAACACTTATTCTCGAAGTTGACCTCTAACTTAAAATTTTCGCCTCTTTTTTTATCCTATTGGCTCCAGATGATCCACACAGTAATTTCACACACGAAATCCTTATTAATTTCAATGTTCCCTTACACCAGTTCAATCATCTCCAAACTCTCCTAAAGGAAAATTTTTGGGTGCATGTATTTCATGATTTTCTAGGTTTACATCAGCTATGTTCACTTTCTCCTGAACCAAGTCATCAACCTATAATGCCAAACATGAATATAGAGATTAAGTTTCACATAGAATAAGTGTCAATCAACTCCAAGTATAGTTTTTCCACTATCCTTAGTTTAATACATGATTTTAGTTTACACATCATTGCCAGCAATACCATCCAGCCCGCATAAGCACACAAAAGTTTTTTAAAAAATGATTTTTTTTTAACGATAGAAACACACAACAATCATGCAAAAAACAGTAAATTACATGCAAACGATAAAGATAAAATCGCCCCCAAACTTAAATTGTGCATTGCCTTCAATGTACCAAAAAGAATAATGGAATGCAAAAGTAAAGGCAAAGAAGGAAATCGAAAACTCCCTTGATCAGTTGGATGGTGGCGACGAAGGATAAGGTACATAATCTCCGAAACCAGTAAGGGCCAAAGATGAAGGAGAGGGTGGCGGGGACATGCGTGCGAGAATCTCTCGTAATAAAGTGGACTACTGACCCATCTGGGTCTGGATGTTGTTTATCATATCAAAGTTCTAATCAATTTGTCCCTGCATGTCCCTCATCTTATCATAGGATCGATCACTTGTATGTTAAGCTCATCAATCCGTCCGGCAAATCGATCCATCCGGTCTATGACCATTCGATCCCTCTGCTTGCACTGGAAACATCCCCCGCATCAACATCATCTGATCATGTGCAACAGCGGTGCGGAAATCCATGTGACTAACTCTCAAATCCAAGGAACCAATCATCTGCTCAATCCATAACATGCCTTGGATGGTCTGAGTCGATCCAGCAAGTAGCTGTCATAGGAGCATATTGTTAACATGAGGATCTGGCTGTGGCGGCTGTTAACCTACCCCCTTTTGCTGCTGTTGTTGGCACTGCCGTCCTACAAGGGTATTTTGCCATGAATTTTCTGTCGTTTTTTGACTAATAGCAACACTACGTGGGACCAGTTGTTCCGTGGGAAGGAGTTGCACCCCAGATGATAAGCAAATGTCACAAATAAGGCTGGGAAAAATCATTTTTTGACATAGCGATGATGCAGAACCAAACTCAACAATATGATCGTGGATGAACGTTCTTAAATCTATTTTCAAATCTCGTACCAAGTGAAGAAGAAGTCCCGATTTGGCAAAGTTGAAAGTAGACATGTGAGGTAGGTTCAATATTATGGCATATAAATTTCATCAGCACCTGCACAGAACGAGTAGTTGAAAATGAAGATGCCTTTTATATACTTTACAGTGTTCAGCTACATATTTATATATACACTTTGAGGTGGGAATTAAAAAGATACAAGGAGCCTATTCTAGAATGTTCAGCTGGAGCCATTCACGTGAAATATGGTTGAGTATCTGAATCCACTACAACTAAATCTGGTGTAACAAAAAATGTACTGCAAGACTGATTAGTTTCAGTGTATTAGAGTTAATGAGATAATTAACTCTTAACACCCCCTCTCAAGCCGGATGGTACTGCTGTAACACCTAGCTTGTCTTTCAAAAAGATGAATCTGGAATGAGAAAGGCCCTTTGTTAACACATCTGCAATCTGATCTGAAGATGGCACATATCTCACTTCTAACTCCTTTCCCAGAACTTTATCTCTGACAAAATGAATGTCTAATTCTATGTGTTTTGTTCTGGCGTGGTAGACAGGATTCGTTGCAAGTGCACCAGCACTCATATTGTCACAACACAGGATTGGAACTGAGACTTGTGGCATTTCCAGTTCTTTGAACTAGGACTGGATCCAGGCAATTTCTGAGGCTACAGAAGCAAGAGCTCTATATTCTGACTCCGTACTTGATCTAGCAACAACATGTTGTTTTTGGATAACCAGGCTATCAAATTTTCTCCCAAATATGTACAGTATCCGGCTGTTGATCTCCTGTCATCATGATTGGAAGCCCAATCTGCATCTGAATATCCACTTAATGTCAGACTATCACATCTTTGAATCCACAATCCTTGGTTTATTGTTCTTTTTAGATACCTTAATACTCTTTTTACTGCTT